AGTTGAGGCTGAAAATAAGAGGTAAGTATAGGTTAAAGGAACAAATAATCAGCTAGAACTGTTGTATGGTGGTAAGGGATAGGAGGGATGAAGAAGTAGAAGTACATGAATTCTGCTAATGATCATAAAAGATCCTATGTAAAGCAGTAGACTTTAATATACTCATGCACCTGGGGGTATATCAAGTATCACATCATTTCTCCTTTCCAGCGTTCCTTTTCACAATTGCCCTTTACAAAAGAAGTGCACACTTTCCACATATCCAAATATTCCTAGGGTGCAATGCCCAGTAGTAATGAAATGTAAGGGGTATAAAACAAAGAGAAATTTACAAATAAAGCCAACTGTTTTTCCTTTCACATAAATAATTTTGTTAGAAGTGTAGAGTGATGTTAATACAAGCATTTTGGTATGTGATGGAGTACAATAAATTCATATGTATGGACTAGGGCTGCTAGAATTATATTTTCATTAAAATGAACTTACTAATTGCATCTCTGATTATTGTTAAGAAATGAATCATCCCTGGGGACCTGGGTGCTCAGTTGGTTAGGTGTCCAGACCCTTGATTTTGACTGAGGTCATGATCTCATGGTTTGTGAGATCGAGACCTACACTAAGACTGCTTAGGATGCTAGCACTCTCTTCCCTCTCTCTACTCACCCCCGCCTCCCGCCCCACTGGTGCTCACTCCCTCTCTCTCGCAATTAAAAAAAAAGAAAGAAAGAAAAGAAGCTGAGTCTGCCTACAAGTGGCTCAGTTGGTTAAGTGGCTGACTTTGGCTCAGGTCATGATCTCACGGTTCATGAGTTCAAGCCCGGCGTCAGACTCTGTGCTGAAGAGCTCAGAGCCTGGAGCCTGCTTCAGAGTCTGTGTCTCTCTGTGTCTCTGTGTCTCTCTGCCCCTCCCTGCTCATGCTCTGTCTCTCTCTCAAAATAAATAAACATTAAAAAAATTTAAAAAAAGGAGAAATGCATCATGCTTGAAGGAAAGTCCTATTAAAGTAAAGCATAAAGTGCAAGGAGTATGTATTGATTCCTTATTTCATAGACATAAACTTATGGCAGGGCTCTGTGCCTGATCAATATGAGAATTAGAATTCAGAAGCATGATGGTTTCAAAGTTAGGTATATCAACATATTTATTTAATTAAAAAAGGGAGTCACTTCTTTTCTGATTTAAAAAATTACAGGCAAGATGTGGTGCACTCCAAGATATATCTATCTTCTCAACGTATATTGTTTTGAACAAGGTACCTAAAGGAATGAGTAATGAGCATAATCAATAGTAATTTGATATGCTTGAACACTCTTTGGTATACACTTTCCAGAAAGTGGGAAGGAAACTTGATAAAAACTTGTAAGAAATTCTTGTGTAGGGGCACCTGGGTGGCTCAGTCAGTTGAGTGTCTGATTTTGGCTGAGGTTGTGATCTTGCAGTTTGCGAGTTTAAGCCCCATACTGGGTTTGCTGCTGTCAGCGTTAAGCCCACTTTAGACCCTCTGTCCCCCTCTCTCTGTCCTTGCCCTGCCTGCTCTCTCTCTCTCAAAAAAATAAAACCTTTAAAAAATTTTTAATAAAGAAATCCTTGTATAAGTCAAGAAGTCTTTTTTTTCTGCTTTTAACCAAAGTAGAGTTCCTTATTGAGCTACTAGATTTTAGAATGATTAAAAATGACTAACAAAATGAATAAATAAATGGGGGGAGGGGAAAGATCAATCTCCTATGCAGAAGAATTTGAAATAGTTTATACAGATATCTCACCCCCATGGAAGTATAATTTCTCATTCCTTACATGTGGGCTGCGCCTAAGACTTCCTTCCTTCAAAAGAGTATAGAATGGAAAGGGGAAAAACAAGTAACTTTATAGTGGAGAAATCTAAAAACAGAGTCTCAGCTAGGTGATGAACATTAACATCAATAGTAATAGGTCATGTTAATATTAGGTACCTTTATTACAAGGTAACAAAAATATATTTTACCTCTGTGGTCTTCATAACCCTACTCTAATAATCAGGAAAACATCAGAAAAATCCCAACTGGGGGACATTTTTATAAAATACCTGATTGGTACTCCTCAAAATTGTCAAGGTCATCAAAAACAAGAAAAGTTTGAGACTGTCACAGTTGCCTAAGGAGACATGCCTATTAAATATAACATGGTATCATGCATGAAATTCTAGAGCAAAGAACAACATAAGATAAAAACTAAGGAAATGTGAAAGAGTGTGGACTTTAGTTAACAATAATGTATTAAAAGTGGTTCTCTAACTGTAATGAATGAACCACATTAATATCAGATGTTAATAATAAAACTGGCAGGTGCAGGTATATATGAGAACTATCTGTACTACCTTCACAATTTTCAAAAATCTAAACTATTCTAAAATTTTAAGTCATTTAAAGAGAAAACATCAATAACAAAACCACAATGAGATACCATGTCCACCCACCAGGATGGCTATAAAAAAAAAACAAAGATAATAACAAGTCCTAATGAACACGTGGAGAAATAAATTTTCACATAATGTTTGTAGGAATGTACTATTTACTGCAGTCATGTTGGAAAACAGTCTGGCAATTCCTCAAAAAACTAAACGTTGAGTTATCATATAACCCAGCAATTCCATTCCCAGGTATATATACCCAAGGAAATAAAAACATGTATATGTAAAAACTTGTACATAATGTGTATAGCAGTATTCATAATAGCCAAAAAATGGAAACCCAGAGGTCCATCAACTGATCAATGGATACACAAAGTGTGGTATAAACATTCAATGGAATATCATTCAGCCATAAAAAGGTATGAAGTGCTGATATATGCTACAACGAGGATGAACCTTGGAAACATACTAAATTAAAGAAGCCAATCACCATATACTGAATTACTATTCTTATAAAATATCCAGAATAGGTAAATCTATATAGACAGAAAGTAGACTGGTGGTTTCCTAGGGTTTCAGGAAAAAGGGGGAGGTGGGGGTTGAGTGATAATGGAGTGTAAATGTGAAGACGAATGAATTTCTTTAGAGGTGATAAAAATGTTCTAAAACTGGGGTGCCTGGGTGGCTCAGTCGGTTAGGCATCTAACTTTGGCTCAGGTCATGTTCTCATGGTTCATGAGTTCAAGCCCTGTGTTGGCTATCTGCTGACAGTTCAGAGTGTGGAGCCTGCTTCGGATTCTGTGTCTCCCTCTCTGTCCCTCCCCTGCTTGTGCTCTTTCTCTCGAAAATAAATAAAACATTAAAAAAAAATTTTTTAATGTTCTAAAATTGTGGGGATACTTATACAACTTTGTATTATATTACACTTAAATTGGGAGAACTGTAGGGTAATGGAAATTATATCACAATAAAACTGTTTTGTTTTTCTAAAGACTGACAACAGATCACTCCGTGGTTTTTGCCAAATAACTCAGAATTAAAAGGATTTAGTTTCACTGCCATATAAAATTTTATTCCATTATCATATGTAAATATGGTCTCTTAATCACTGCATCTAATATATGTTTATGTTACATATGTTTATTGTCACATGTGTATATATGCACATACACACATATATATGCTTGTATATACACAGGTATATATATTCTTGGGTGTGTATATTAGCATATATATTATTCATATATCATATATAAAATTGAAGCTACATTTCTTTTTTTATTAAAAAAAATTTTTTTAACATTTATTTATTTTTGACACAATGCGAGAAACAGAGTGCAAGCAGTGGAGGGGCACACAGAGAGAGACACAGAATCTGAAGTGGGCTCCAGGCTCTGAGCTGTCAGCCCAGAGCCCGACGCGGGGCTTTAACTCACGAACTGTGAGATCATGACCTGAGCTGAAGTCGGACGCTTAAATGACTGAGCCACTCAGGCTCCCCAAAGCTGTATTTCTGTCTCACTCTAGCAAAGTAATAATTATTCACAGATACATGGACTAATGAAAACAAATGTCCATCTACCTGATTTAAAAAAGCATTTCGAATAATTAGCAAATGTACATAGTAAATTGGAAGTGTATACTTACGTTGTTTTTAATCAACTGTATATTAATAAAGTAATTCAATATAGAAATAAGTTTAACTACAGCCTTGTCACAAATAATTAAAATATGTTTATATATAGATTTTTATTGCAGAAAAATATAATGATAAATAATGTAAACATAACAATTACAAGTTAAAACTCAGGGTTCTTTTAAGGGTTAGGTGACCAACTCCCACACATATAGACCACTATAAACAAACAGATGGTTAATATCTACTTATACAGTTCAACAGATGGAATCAAAAGAAATATACAAGCCTTTCAAATCATTAAGAACCATCTACACAGTTAATAAAACAAACAAAAACCCAGGTAAATGAAAGCTTTTTTTAATGTTTATTTGAGGGAGAGGGAGAGGGGGAGGGAGGAAGAAAGGGAGGGAGGGAGTGAGGGAGGGAGGGAGGAGACAGACAGACAGACAGACACAGAATCTGCAGCAGGCTCCAGGCTCCGAGCTGTCAGCACAGAGCCCAACATGGGGCCGTGAGATCATGACCTGAGCCAAAGTTGGACACTTAACTGGCTGAGCCATCCAGGAGCCCCAGAAGCCCTTTTTAAAGTAGTACAACATAAAGTCATTTGAAGTTTGTAAAGACTTATATGATAGATTTCTCTGCAAAATATAGTAAGAACCCTAGAATAAGGAAGCAACTCATCCAAACATGGGCATCACAAGATCCAAAGATGCAGGATGGAACTTAAATAATGTTAAGAGGAAGAAGTCACACTAGAAAAATTCTTTCAAGACGAACATAAAGAAATGAGTAAAATATGCATTATTGCTCTGTAAATGGGACTCTTCAAAATAATGCATACATGTTACTTAAAGCTCTAGCAAAAAACAAAAACAACAAAGTACAGAAAGGATTCTTTTGTACTTGTTAAAAGATAATATCCAATCTTAAGAGCCATCTAAAAACCAGATTATTCCTTATGTAGCCCCTTACCTGACATTCTGAGTAGGATTCCACCTTTCGGAGGGCAGTTCTCCACTCTGTGGGTCATCTACAGGCGGATGAAGAATCGAAATGCATACATCTCCATTCTATGAGACACAAACATCACATTTAGAAAGTACTAAAAAATATGATATAAAAAAGGGACATCAGTTCTGCTAAATTTTCTTTTATTCGTAGAAAACTTGTTTTCTCATCATAAGGGGAGAAAACAATTCTTTTTCTTCATGTTTGCAATCAATGTTAAAGAATTATTAAGTACTTTTTTGGGGCACCTGGGTGGCTCAGTTAGTTAAGTGTCTGACTTCGGCTCAGGTCACGGTCTCAACATTTGTGGGTTCGGGGCCCCGTGTCGGACTCTGTGCTGATAGCTCAGAGCCTGGGGCCTGCTTTGGATTCCGTGTCTTCTTCTTTCTCTGCCCCTCCCTCACTCACACTCTTAATCGCTCTCTATCTCTCAAAAATAAACATTAAAAAAAAAGTTTTAAAGAAAGAATTAAGTAGTTTTTATATTACAAATATTCATTCTGACTAATCTCCCAGATATATCTTAGTTTAAAAAGTAGCACTACTTATTTACTTGTTTATTTATTTTTATTGTCAATTTGGCTAATATACAGTGTGTACAAGTGTGCTCTTGGTTTTGGGGGTAGATTCCCGTGGTTCATCACTTATATACAACACCCAGTGCTCATCCCAACAAATGCCCTCTTTAATGCCCATCACCTAGTTTCCCTTCTCTCCCACCCTCCCCATCAACCCTATTTGTTCTCTGTATTTAAGAATCTCTTATGGTTTGCCTTGTAGCACCATCTTCCTAAAAAAACTCATTTAAAAATAGACAAACATGATGAACTGAGATCCAAGAGTCCTGAGAAGCAACAAAGTATCTTTATTTTGATACATCTGAACCTAAAGTACATAAAAAGAAACAAACAAATCCCCCTCAAATTTGCCTTGCTTAAAATCTGCCTAGAGAGATGCTAAAATCACCTGTAACATCAATCAATGGTTTTAATACTTATGGTTTATATAAACTAAAAATATGCCTCCCAACAATATAATTTTAACTCCCTCAGGATATGGATAAAACTCATCACTATGGTTATAATATTGTGGTTCATAAATTTAAATTATAGGACCTAATTCACATGTACATTTAAGTCAAACACATATGTATTGCCTACCATATGCATCATAGACTGTTTTTCAATAGAAAAGACAAGGCTGAGTAAGATATAGTCACCAATCTCAGTCTAAAATGAAAGATAAAATTCAAAATTTTAAACAGAAATATAACTATAGAAAGTGTAAAAATCTTACGCATACAACCCAAATTTAGACACACACATAAAATACACAACCACATCAAGGTAACAGAGTATTTTTAAAAGGAGAATAAAATTTTAATGAAATCAATACCAAATACTAAATTCTAAAACTCTGTACTATCATTAGATGCTATGAGGAAGGTTAAAAAAAAAAAAAAAGGCACAACAGAAATCACGAGAGAAACTAGGATATTAGTGTGGAAGAACAAAAGGCTTATTGTTTCAGAAAGCTTTGAGATGGATTTTGAGTAAGAAGTACAATTTTAACAACTTAAGAGAAATTTAGACATCAGTTAGCCTAGATAAATAAACCAACATCATAAACAGTAGAACAAAATATGCTTGGGTAGTTGTATTTGTTTTACGTTGCTACTCTAACAAATCACCACAAACTTAGTGGCTTAAAACAAAACAAAAAAAATATTATTTTACAAGTCTGACACTGTTCCAACAGGGCTACATTCAATGTGTCAGCATTAATGCTCTGCTTCCTGAAGCCTCTAAGACACACTCTCTTTCCTTGCCCTTTCTAAGCTTCTAAAGGCTACCCACACTCCTTTGGTCTTGGCCCCCTTCCTCTAATCCTCAAAGCAAAAAGTGTTACACTTCTCTGAGCCTTTCTTCCATAGTCTATCTCTCACTCTCATTTTCTGCCTACCTCTTCTACTTTAAAGGACTCTTTGGGTTACATTGGGCCCACCCGGATAATCCAGAATAATCTCCTTATTTTAAGGTCAGCTACTGATTAGCAACTTTAACTTTTCTTTAACATAGAAGCTAACATACCATAGGTTCTAGGGACTGGAATGTCCAGGGATATGGACATCTCTGAAGGACCATTATTCTACCCACCACAGTAGTGAAGAACCCACTGGTAATGAAATAAATATATGGTACAAAAATTAGACCAGAGGAATATGTTACTTTGTTCAGAGTTTAATATGTATATACATAAAATTTCTGAGTAGTGGAACAACATATATAGATTTCTACTTAGAAACAACAAATTAAAAGATGGGCATCTGAAGGAACCTGGGTCGATCAGTCAGTTAAGCATCCAACACTTGATCTTGGCTTGGGTCATGATTTCACGGTTTGCGTGATGGAGCCCCACATCGGGCTCTGCACGGACAGCACAGAGGCTGCTTGGGATTCCCTGTGCTTTCTCTCTCAAAATAAATAAGCATTTGACAAAACCTAATATTTTCATGATAAAAACACTCAAAAAACGATAAACAGAACTATTAACATTATAAGGGGCATTTTTTTAAAAAGTCCACAGCTAGCATTATAGTAAATGGTGAAATCTTTCCCTCCGAGGATCAATAGGACAAGGATTAGAGTACCTGGGTGGCTCAGTCAGTTAAGCAAACGACTCTTGATCTCAGCTCATGTCATGATCTTACAGTATGTTAGATCAAGCCCCACGTGGGGCTCTGTGCTGACAACGTGGAGCCTGCTTGGGATTCTCTCTCCTTCTTTCTCTATGCCCTTCCCCGACTCATGTTCTCTCATTCTCAAAATGAATTTTAAAAACATTAAATAAAAAACAAAAAACAGGACAATGGTAACTATTTTTACCACTGCTATTTAACACTGTCCTGGAAATTCTAACCAGAGCATTAGACAAGAAAAAGCAGTAAGAGACATACAAAGTGGAAAGGAAAAAGAAAAATTATTTCAAAAATGACAAAGAAAATTCCAAAGAATTCACAAGAAAGGCACTAAAGCAAGTAAACAAATTCAGCAAAGTTGTAGGACATAAGATCAACATTCAAATATCAGGTTTATTTCTAAATACCAGCAATAACCTAAACAGGATAACCTAAAAAGGATATTAAGAAAACAATTCCACTTACAATGGCATCTAAAAGAACAAAACACAACCTAGGAATATATCTAACCAAGGAGGTGAAAGACTTGTACACAGAAAACTATAAAACACAGCTCAAGGAAGTTAAAGACCTAAATAAATACATCCTGGGTTCGTAAGTGGAAAGACTTCATAATAACATGACACTAACTATTCCCCAGTCTGATCTACAGTTTCAGTGGAATCCTAATCAAAATCCTGGCTTCCCCTTACCAGAAATTGAAAACCCGATCCTAACATTTATATAGAAATTTAAGGGATCTACAATAGCAAAAAACAATCTTAAAGAAAAAAAAAAAAAGTAAAATCAAAGACTCACACTTCCTGATTTCAAAACTTACTATAAACCTATAATCAACAAGACAGTTTAGGACTGGCATCATGAGAGACCTACAGACCAATAGAACAGAACTGAGAGTCCATAAATAAGCACATACATCTATGGCCAAATGATTTTTGATGAGGATGCTAAGTCCATTCTATGGGGAAAGAACAGTCTCTTCAACAAATGAATTGGGATAACTGAATTTTCAAGAACAAAAAGATGAAGTTGGATTCCTATCTCATACCATATGCAAAATTAACTCAAAATGGAAGATCTAAGAGCTAAAATTATAAAACTCTTTAAAAACCAAAACAGGGGCGCCTGGGGGGCTCAGTCAGTTAAGCATCCGACTTTGGCTCAGGTCATGACCTCACGGTTCGTGAGTTTGAGCCCCGCATTGGGCTCTGTGCTGACAGCTCAGAGCCTGGAGCCTGCTTCGGATTCTGTCTCCCTCTCTCTCTGTGCCTCCCCTGTCCATGCTCTGTCTCTCTCTGTCTCAGAGATGAGTAAACATTAAGAAAAAAATTAAAAATAAAAAAAATAAAAAAAAAAAAAACATAGGAGTAAATCTTCATGATCTTGGATATGGCAATGGATTCTTAGATATGACACCAAAAGCATAAGCAATAAACCAGACTTTATCAAAATGAAAAACCTTTGTGCAAAGAAAATTATCAAGAAAATGACAAGACAACCTACAGATAAGAAGGAAATATCTCCAAGTCATGTATTCGGTAAGTGTTTAATATCCTTAATTATATAGAACTCTTACAACTCAAAGACAAAAAGATAAACTAGTCTATTAAAAAATGGGCAAAGGACGTGAAAAAACATTTCTCCAAAGATGATATATAAATAGCCAATAAACACATGAAAGCATGCTCAACATCATTAGGGAAATGCAAATCAAAATGACAATAAGATATCACTTTACATCCCTTAGGATGGCTATAATTGAAACAAAAATGAAAAATAACAAGTGTTAGTAAGGATGTGGAGAAACAGGAACCCTCATCCATTACTGGTGGGAATGTGAAATGGTTCATCTGCTGGAGACCCGTCTGGTAGTACCTCAAAGAGTAAAATACAAAATTACCTATTTGATACCATAATTCTAGGTATATAAACAAGAGAACTGAAAGAAGGACTTACACAAGTACATATATACACACGGGCACAGCAGCACTATTCTCACATCCAAAATGTGGACAAAGATCAAATGTCCATCAATAGATGGATAGACACAATGGAATATCATCCAACCATAAAGAGAAATGAAGTACTGCTACATGTTACAACATGGAGAAAATTGGCTAAATGAAAGCCAGACACAAAAGGTCACATATTGCATGATTCCATTTATAAGAGATATCCAGAATAGACAAAATATATACAGACAGAAAGCTGGGTGGTCATTGTCACAGACTAGGACTAGAGTGAAATGGAATGGAGAGAAAGTGCATTGTCCATAAAGTGTTTTATGCAGGAGTGATGGGAATACTTTATAAATAGAGGTGTTAGCTGCACAACACTGGGACCACGTACTAAATGTCACTGAAT